ATATTTGAATTGCTAAGAAAATCACCTTTTTTTTCAAAAAAATTGCAAATTTCTCTTGAGCTAACTACGAATTCACTTCGTATCCTCAATCAAAGTAATGTAATTATGTTTTTAAAAGGGTATTGAAGATTTATCCAATTTTTGACAGTTCTGCATACATTCTTCCACAGGTGAACATCTCTCGTTTGACTGAGTGCTTTGCCTACTCCACTTTTCCTCATTGGTGAACTCTTCAACTCCTTTTCACTTCCCCTCTTTTCTCCTCATGCGTCTTTCTTTCATTCGATTTTGCACCACCTTATAACACTAGGCTTTGGCCTTCACTTTTTTTAACAATTTTCCATTTTTGATGAGAGCAGATCATTGTTACAGATGCAGGACACACCGGCGTGAACCAACTTGGTGGGGTTTTCGTCAATGGCCGGCCTCTTCCTGACACAACAAGACAAAAAATTGTCGAATTAGCTCATGGAGGAGCACGGCCATGTGATATCAGTAGGATACTGCAAGTCTCCAACGGGTAAGTGGCTTCTTTGATACTAACTAAAAAGTTTTTTCCTATATATCTTCAACATTAGCGATAAAGCTAATTTTCTTGAAATGACAGGCTAAAATAAATATTAGTCTGGAAAGAAGGAATGGTGCTCTAGCTTTTATGCCGTTTATGATAGAGACCAATAGAAGGTCCCACATTATTTTGAATTGTATTGGATCATCCTGACTTTCGTGCCATTTCATGCATTTTTAGTCGTCTTTGTCCACCCAACTTTGTTTCTCGTCCCTGTTAAAAGCTTTCATTCTAGATGTATATGCCCAGAATGTTTTTAAAATATGATTTCTTGAGAATATATTTGAGCGAAGTGCGTTAATCAAAGTCGGGCCATCTCCTATTTTTCTTCCTCTGTCCATGCAAGCAGTTATTTGATGCAAAGATCTCATCTTTGCAATAACACAGTTTCTCAGTTCCTCATCGCATCTTTGTCGCTACGAAATCGTGGATTTTTTGGAGATCCAGACAAATAGTCAGTAGTTAACTGTAAAGAATAAAAAAATGTCGAAGATGTTTACCTCGAAAGCCTGTTTATCTCCTGCTGGTTGTTTTACTTCACAGCGCTTTTGATTCATCAATGTACTCCTTCAAGCTAAATTTTGTTTCCATTTTCCAATTGCATAGCCTCACTCTACCACTTTTTATTCGAGTGCATACCGTTGATTATATTGAATATATAGTATATAAGGCATTTGAACAAATCCATAAACTCTTTTTGTTTCTCAAAATTGACAGTAATGTTAGTTCCTTTTTACCATGTGCAGCTGGGATTCTATGTAATACAGAGCTCCTCATCTAATCATTTTCATTGCTTTCTATTCATATATGCCTTTAGATTGCTGATTGACAGGCTTTCGTAAAACACAAAAATTGTTGCGATATATATACATGTCTATACTCAACATTATTTTCCATAAGCTTAATCCTTTCCTAAAAACTGCTAGCTTCTTTGACAGACTTAGTTCCAAAATCTAGGTTTATTTCTGAATTCTGGTTCTCAATTGTCACCTTATCCCTTCATCGTTTAGCCATTCATTTCAAACATCTTTAAAATTAACGCCGTTCTGTAGCCTACTTTAGCAGGCAATTAAGAAATATTATAGGCAAAAATTTTATAAATTTTGATCAAAATAGACAATTTAAGTTTGCAATGACTGAAACGTTTTCATGGAGTAGACAACACAGAAAGATCTCTGAGTCTAAATATGTAGCTGGGAGGTTGGGCGATGGGTCTTTATTAGAGCAATTTCCCCAACTACTTTCGAGCTTCGTGCATGACTGTTCTTGTTAAGACCTCATTCTTCTACTGCACTGATTCTTATTTGGTATTTACACACAAAACTTATACAGAGAAAACTTGTGTTTGCACTCAGACCATTTATATTAGCGTGAACTGCGTCAAACAAGTGCAACAGCCCATGACATCGTCTTTGCTTTGAAAGATAAAAGTAGCACCTCAACAAATTAGTATATCGAGTCGTTCATCTACTAGTAGTAATAGCCTATAGCGTTCTCTAACATATATTTGAATAGTGTCGTTTCATCCAAGTTTACAGCATTTGTGTTAGCTTAGTGCTGTTAAATTATAAAGAAGTTCAACATGGTAATTAGAGC